TAGCCGGATGAGCAATGCTGAGGTTAGGGGCAGAGTTTTGGGTAAATACGGTCGCCCACTGGAGCGAGTGGTCGACCTCCATAGATTACGTTGGCTGGGACATGTGCTACGCATGTCACCAGATAGGTTGCCACGCGGGCGATGTTTAGTGAGACAGGTAGCGGTTGGACTAAGTTCAAGGGTGGTCAAGTTAAGACCTGGCACGAGGGTATGAAAACCCTAACCAGGAGTCTAGGTCACATAGGTCACATTAGACTCCTTGGCTGGGGACCCCGAGATCATGGTGACCGATGGTTCAAGACACTGAGCGATATGGCTGGACGTTCCCAACACTGGCGTTTATGCATGTCCACGTTATTCTCTTAACCGCAGTCTATATAAATTCTCTTCTTTTGTTTGAATGTGCGTTCAACATTCCGACTTTCATCCTTCTCTTGTATCCGTATGGGTGACCAAAGACAGCAACCAAAACCGGCACACGAAAGTGCGTGTTCAATATTTGTAAAAACACAAACTGAAAGCATTTCGTTCCACTTTGGGTTAATGCATTTCGTCAGGACCCACTCATCTATTCCTGCAGTCGCCATCGCTGATAGTTCTGTTAGTGTTCGACAAATTTTCTCATCTAAATGATGCAGCATTTTGTGGCAGTATTACCAGCGAAGAAAAATCAATAAACGAAAGGACGTTAGAGCTTCACCTTGTTCCTTTCGGCATGTATTGATCCTGAGTACTCCGCATCAAGCGTGCCGAGTGGTTTTAATTATCCTTTCATCGCTCCCCTGAACAATATCCCACAGTAATGGCATCATTGTGTATATGAGGACCATGTCGTAAAACGTGTATTCGCTATAAATCCGTCGTCGTCTAATATGATTATATTCATTCTAAGTCACGTAAGTCAGCAGTCAAACTGTTTGGGAAGCAACTCAGGGGATAAAAATCTTTATGGTAGAGAAATAGGTTCATGGTTTGCTCGTATGCTCAATACTGCGAAGTTGCTCTGACTCACGCCAGTGAACTTCCTAGTGGAATTCACAATTTGGACCTTCGTTTAGCCAACGGAAAATGAAAGCCGATCGTAATAATGAAAGCGTACTGTGTATTTTTGCCTTCTGTGATCCTTATCGAATGTTCGTGCGATTCATAGGTACAACTGAAATAGGTTTCATCTAATTACTATTTTTCATTGCTTGGTGGAGGCATTACTGATTGCACTTTTTACTCAGAGGAGTATCCTGAATGTCGTAACACGTTTAAACAGTGGCTCTACGGGCGACAAGGGAATTCAGTAAGTTTGAGGGAAGAAGAGAAGATACCAAACCGGGTTAAAAACTTGATATTATCAGCATCACGAATGAGGCTCCTCGTGCCAAGGTTCACTTGCATGTGTGGATTTCAACCAGGAAGAATAATTTTAGTTTTTGTGAAAAGCTGTTTGGAACGAGTGTCGAATCCATTTGCGGCTGTACATGGAAAATGCGTGAAGAATCCGAGCCATCAACTGAGGTCATTTGTGAACACAGGTTAGCAAAAAAACTTGTTTTTGGTGCTTCAACCACGGGCTGAAAACATTAGAATTTATGGTAAACTAAATAGTTGGTGGGAGGAGCCACAGTTGTGAAGGAATCCGTTAAAATCCACTAGTGGCGTTACCTCCGCTCAATAACCCATTCACTCACAATCACCTCGTTCACGTTCAACACACATATCGCGCATACCAATTATCACAGTTGCATCATCCCACTTTGAACACTAATTTCTTGCGTAACTTTGTCTGCTTTCACCATCTGTTGAGTTTACCATGCGTTCTGTTGTATGTAGCAGTTGTTGTAGCACCGAAAGCAGGCTTGTTTGCTCACTTGTGTTCTCATGAGTGCTCAGTGGGTAACGTTTCCGCATACGGTGACCTCCAAGGCTTTATAAAGACTAAAGAACCAAAAGCCTGCGTTTGTAACTTGAGTTTTTAAGTTATCGATCAACGAATTTATACGCCTATTTGTTTTGAATTACTTACAAGTGCTCAAGTATTTTTATTGACCCCCAAAAGAGCTTTTGATTGCATTTTATCCTGAGTTTTTTCAGAAGTCCTACTGCCACCAAGCTGTGTATTGCGCATTGACAGATTCTCACATGTTTCGACTGATTGAACCTCATTCATATACGTGACTATCCTCATATGCTTTATGGAACCCGTTATCGTTTTATGATATTTACTACACAAAACTGTACCTCCTGTTCACTCATGTTTTTGCACCACAAACTTGTGATGCTACCCTATTGTTAGTCATTCTTCTGTTCTTCTATTGTCATATGTTAGTCGTAACTTTTTTGAAAAACGATCATTTTCATTCAAAACGATATATTGATCGCCGAGGCAGTTTCTTGGATCGTGTCGCAGGCCCTGCAGATGCGTATTCGATGCACAACAACGCGAATGAAGATTTCGCTCTACCAACCACTGTCGCAGCTCCCACAGCTTTCGATATGGAAGAAGAACCGACCGTGCCCGCCATGCTATCGGAGACCAATTATCTGTCGGCTGCCCTGGCTGATATCGCTCACGGTTTGGTTGGCCAGATCGGTTCCGCCATCCCACCAGTGATGCGGTCAACCCGGTCAACAGCACACACTTTGTCACCATCGATTCGTCTACAAGCGAAAATTTACCAGGGATTAGGTACGTTCCGCCGTGATGTATGGCATAGCTATTCAGTGCATCACTGCTACAGATATCCCGTTTCTTAGCGTTCATCGACCCGCGTCCATGTCTCATGGTTATAATCCGTGTAGTTTGAAAACAATTGTGACCTTTAACATACCTTGATCTACAGAGAAAGGGTTGTCTTTGTCGACCACAACTAAAAAATTCCTGAGACAACTGCGATGGTCAAAATTCAACTAAACTTTTCTGTCACGTTCCAATCTATCCGTTGCAGTTTTAATTGCACTGCGACAACCAATGATGTAACTGATCCGGGTATTTTTTTACCATACCCACTATCATGAATTGTCTTAGTACACACGTCCTTCATCGTGTTTCATTGTCAAGTGGTTGCCTTATTCACCCAAAAAGAATGCACTTCTAACATTGTGTTCAATGACATAGTTTGCCATCAAGTGCATTTTGAGATGGGGAAGCAAATTTTAATCAAAGCATGGGACAAAATTTTAAAATAAAAAGCTCATGGTCAGCGGAGTACTCTCACTAAATCCGAAATAACATAATGACGGTGGTCAATTGTACTTGTTCCGTGTTTTTCAGCCGGATGAGGATTTACTTGATATGGAATTGAATGGGTGCTTGTTGTCGGGTAAAAGATTGTGTCATCACTCAAAGTGTTACTAAATTGGTATGTACATTTCTAACCCTTGAGATGGTATTTGTGGATCTGCGAACGATTCGGTAGTCCGAAAGACGTCAACCGACAAAAGTTCAACTCTATACCAAATAGTGAAGAACGCAAGCTAGAAGAAATCGATTGTGGTTAGAATGAGAGACATGCACATATCGGAATCTTGACTCACAGAAAACACGTATATTTGGATCTTTGTGCGTCGTAACATTGCGAACCGTAGCCACACATCAAGCGACAGCGCGCAAATCAACGCACTTGAGTTCTATTTCCGTTAGTAGTCTAACCTCGGCAAGTGAAAATGGGATCTCACTACGCTTAGAAACGATTATGGATAACGAAGAGGAGGGCGGCGCTGAAGAAGATTGCAAATAAGTAATTTTAAAGTCTACGTTAACTTAAAGTGTACTCCAACTACATGCGCATGTTTAATCATGTAATCCTCTATTAGTTCCTAAATGTGAGAACAAAGCCAATCAGTGGAAAAAATGATGGTCTTTGGAAAATACGACCAGTGGCGTCGCTTGCACCGATACATGAACTGTTTTTTCCTCGTAAAACTTGAGACACGTTCATACTGGCTAGGATCAGTTTGTCTCATTCTCCGACTGAAGTAGACATACAAGCAAAGGGGGGGGGCGAACATTGTGAACCTTCGTTTTAGGTATAGAGGTAACGCGCGCAATTCTCTAACCATTCACTTTTCTCTTGGACACATTTGCTGTACAATTAAATCAGTGGACTAGGTAGCTCAGCTGTACAATATTCAAGGACCAGTGGATGAAATCCATCAGGATCAGGTGCTTTGTGTGGCTGATAGGGAACTCGTCGAGGTTTGTGTATCATTGAATGCGATTATCAATTTGGGATAGGATATATTTAGTGCCGAGCTAATGGTGAACATGTTGCTGAGTTCTATCGCTGTGAGATGGGAGATTTGTTTTTCACACCTCAGTTTTTTCTGCTTCACTCACAATTGGTAACGATTTAGAGGTCTGATGTTGATGTACAGCCAGATTAGTTTGTTCATCTCAGATTTGATGAATGTGGATTTTCTTTTTCATAGCAGTGGCTGCGATAATTTCTCTCAGGAAAGCCACATTATTGAAGTCGCGTTTTTCTTGGGTTATACTGCGGTGTAATAGGGCTATGTACATCCGATGACATGAATTTAAGTCGGCGTTTGGAAAGATCTTCACAATATAGTGCTTCGACTTTGCTGTTTGAAAGGTCCAACGGACTGTTGGGATAACGAATGGGGTGGACCCGATAATCACAAAGATCTGCTGTTCAGTAGTGGAAACGGGAAACCTAAACCCCGGGAATGAGAGTAATAATAATATAATGTCCCGCTATGTTAGGCGTGGTACTGAACCAGACGATGTCAAGGCTCCTTCCACCAAAGTTGGATAGTGTTGGCGGGGCTCAAACCACGGACCATTAGGTTCAAAGCACGCCGGTAACAATCACTAAACCACTGCGGCACTAGTACGTCGAAAGTTAACAAGTCAGAGAGGTTAGTTTGGCTTGACTAGAATGTCACCGGAAGACAAAAACAGACATCCTAGTAAGGACAATTCTAACGTGAATGCATCAGCAATTTCACAATTTCCATATGTTCAACAGGGCATTGAAATATAGATATTCGATATCACGATGGAACCAAATGTGTCCAGTAACGTGGTTTGCGTTCCATCGCGATGCATTGCACGCGGAAATGGTTTGTTCGACTTGCTTCAACGGGAACAAGCGTAAGTGATAACACCTCCGCATGGATTTCAGTGATTTCCAGTACAGTTTAGATGATGTGAGTTAGCAGACTTCCGTTGGACTAGATACTATGTCGCCGTGTTTCCCGTGGTATGATGGTTCCGAGTTTTTGCGAGTTTTCTATCTCCTTAGTCATTTGTGATAAGAGAACGCACATTCGATGCAGGAATCATTGGGATGAACATCTTTTGACTTTTGAAGCGGTGTAGACCACATTTGCATTCTGCTTGATGTTTCTTGCAATTACGTTTCATCTTTCAGGATATAGTCGAGTAATGCAATGTTCATGTTTACGGTTATTGGTATTGTGGGATCTTCGTTGGTTTTAGCCGAATTGTATATGGATAATGGACAACTGAATGAAGCGAAGGATGCGTTGGACGAGGCAGCCAAAATCACCAATTTGGATGTGGAAACATTATTCTTGGTAATTTTTTGTTTGCATTTCATGTTTATCATCGTTTCTTACAACGTTCTACTCACTTATACTCGGTAATTTTATAAATTCAGAGGTCGCTTCTACTCCGCCTATTTTCATTGTTCGTGTTGAGCACATTTTCTTTCGCCGTTCTCAATATTATGCTTCCCTTATCAGACCACAATCTGTTTACTGTACTTAATTTAGGGTTTCCCGTATCCATGACTAGTCCGTAGGTTCTATCCCTCCCACCGTACATTTCACTGAGGTGTATAATCTAAAAAGTGAAGACTGATTATACTTCGACAATGCGAGGAATATCCATGTCTGTTCTAATTCTCTTTTATAGTTATATGATTAGGAGATATAATGTTTGTGTTACATTTCGGCAGTCCTGGGTAACATTAATCATTGAAGTCCCGTTCTTCCGTATTTCGGGTCATCCGTGCACACAATTGAAAACCATCGACAGGTGGAATAAAAAAATGAAGTTGTCACCCAGAAATATAACTCCGAATCCGGTGTTAAGAGAAAGAGGTAAACCCAAGACTGTATTTCCAACTGTGACTCCGTTCTTAACGAGGTGAGCGTCTTTCCGATCAAGTGAGAAGAATGGCACGGATGGAGCTGCATCTTGTGTGGCTGTACTCTCTTGCTGTGTCCCGAAGCTCATTTTTTACATCTCTCGGATCGCCTGGCTGTTCTAGTTTATCTAGCTATCCATGGCACATCACGTTTCTATGGTCGCTAATATACGCTTCTAGTCTTCCGTCGCTATGAGTATGCAATTGGGAGATATCTCTGGAAACTAGGGTTCTCCGACGGCAATGTGAACGTACGCCGGGCTCTCGCAGCGCAACCGAGTGAACACAAATGCGCTATAGGATGTCCCTTCGGCTCGTANGCTCGTATTCCCACAACTCGAGACGATACGAACGGGACACGGAGTGGCAAGGAAACCCAGGCACATAGGTTCTCCGTGGACGGGAGCTAAAGATAAATTTGCATGGTAAAGCAAATAAAACGCCATGAACTATAAAGGTCCAGTGAGACACGTGCATGATAAAATATTACTAGTTTGGTTGCCAAGTGTTACAAAAGTAGCTGGATGAGGGTCAGGAGCAGCTTGTGCGTCCGTAGAGAAGACGTGGACAATAAAGGGGTTGGCAATAATTCTATTTGGTCTTAGTCTTCTGTACGGCAATCGAGCAGCTTTTTCAACCCCAACTAGTGTTTATTTTGTAGTGCGTCGTGATAACTGAACAGAGAATAGAGGACAATGCCCCTCTTGTCTGTAACCAAAAGCACCTGTGATTCCATCACTCTAGACAAAACGATTCATCACATTTATCTGCATAACAACTAAGTGACGACTATCTAGGAGAATAGGTTTAAAACAAAGAAGAATAAAGGACCATAGTCCAGTTTACCATCACAATAGCTACTTTCGTGCGGGCTTTTCGTTAAAATCTTGCGAGATTGCGTACCAAGTATTACAGTCTGTTTTTTCATTAAGCTGTTCTTTACTTTCTGGTCAGAAATGAGCTATCACGTGAATAATCGTGAATTCACGACTGTTCAGCCCCCGTGGAGCTGGTTAGTACAGTGATATCACACACATTTCATGTGATGGCTGCGATGTTGTAAGATCAAACGGTGAGGTGGATATACAACACTGGTAAGCTCCTACGAGGACGATACTCGAGTCTAGTGCTTTCCGACTGTATGGCTGAGTGAATGAACTAAGTATTGTGCGTTAAGATGAAGTTTGAGGGATGATCAGTCCATACCAAAAGATGAAATATTTGAACTTACTACTGTACGATATCGTGTTTCAATGCAGGGGGGAGGCGAAAACGCGAATTTACCGATAGTTGGCAGGTTTGTCCTGGTTAAGGTTTTTAGATTTTGCTCTCCTCCGTTTGTTTCCACAAATATTGCGAATTTTTTACTATCCCTCAATGAGAGTACGGATGTTATCATGGGGGATCGTCATTTATTTTCATAAACCCATAACGTTTTCATTTCAATTTAGTGCAGAAATTACTTTCATGGGTTTCCTCTTCATTTGACAAGCCATTGATCAACCTAGTAACTATCGTTGCTCTGCTTATTTTCAGCGTGGCTGTCTGACGGAAAAGCAGGGAGCGCTCGCCAAAGCCAGGTCCATATACGAAAGTGTGATTTCTATCAGGCCAACGCATCTCCCCGCACTGTTATCTCTGGTGAGTGTCAAGGTCCCATTTCTTGGTGAGAGTTGCGTAATACAGGTATGGGTTATTGTCTTTGCAGGTCACTTTTCAACCAATTTGCTGCTCACTTAGGATCTCTAAAAGCATACCCTATATCCCCCATCCCTTCTCAACTTTATCATATAGCATGTTCTACAGAATGCTTTATCCAGTCTAGCAAACGGTGGAGTCGAACAGAGTTCTTGACTTAGAATATGCCGATGACATCGCCTTGCTGGGTGAGAACATACAGGCAGTCCAAGTTCAGTTTCCGTTTGAATAACCATTAACCATGCACCTTCGTGCGCCGGTTTTGGTTGCTGTTTTGGCTGCCCATTGGGATGAAGAATAGGAGAAGAAAGGAAAGTTG